TTTCTCAAAGAACAACATGAACTTATTCATCACTCTCTTATTTATTTTGTGCCGCCATCACCCAAGATATTATGAAACTTACAAAATTCCGATCGCATGGAAGATTTTCGAAGCAGGAGCTAGCCATTTGTATTGAGTTTCATAATTTGTTTCTTAAGCAGAATGGCTTTGGTTGGTCAATCGCTTGATCAAGATTCGGTAATACAACTTACTAAACATGTGCAGCTGTGGAGTAAACCCATCATCACACTTTCACTTCAAAATTTCAACAGCTATGAACATATAGACTGTCTTCACAGAGCTCTGGAGTAGACAATTTTAATTTGGGCCTCACCAGAGGAAGAGAAAGAAGAGAAAGCTTTATGCATTGTAAAATGAGTCACTGTTAAACCAAAGATACCTACAATATCAAAATTCATACAATGTAGAAAGTGACATAAAAGTTATGAATTACAATGTGTATATAGTTAGCAGTACAATAATATAGAATCATGTTGAGTTTTTTCATTTCTCCCGAAAGCCAGCCAAGGTGAAAATGGGAAATTCCTCAGACTGCGCCCCCCAAAAAAAAAAAATCTTTTCAACTTGTAGATGAGTTTTGAACTGTAAATTGTAGTAATTATCAATCTACTTTGTGTGTAGCCATCAGAGAAAGATATATACCCTGTAAAAACGGAAATCTCCCCTTAAAAGAAAATCAGAATTCAAACTTCAGTTACAATATGCAAAAGACGGGGATGCAATGCGACGAGGCTATTAGTAGCATAAAAGTATTACTAGTTTGTAGTTTCATGAGGAGGTTTTCATTGCCAAACCAGTCCATGAATTTGGTTTGCGTAGTAGACAATATATCCAACTGATAGAACCATGCCTAACATTAACTACTTTTTGGGTCCGAAAGAAATACTTAATAATTGTCTCAAACATTGAAAATCCCAAAAAAAAAAAAAGAAAAGAAAAAAAAAGAAGAAGAAGAACCCGAACGGGGAGACTGTTAGCTTTCCAAAGCAGTCACAAGGTCAGGTTTTCTGGGTTGATGGTGATAGAGTTATCAAGCGGGGGTAAGATCTCTAAACATACTGTCAAAATTAACACTGTTTCACAATCCATGTTATTGCTGTGCCGCCATCATCATATACATGAATTTTAGATTTCAATTGCTTAGAAGATTTGCATTGACATAATGACGTTCATAATAAATGTTGCTCAATTAAAATGGTAATGGTAATTAAAGGAGATCTTGATGATGAGGCACAAGATACAGTTGATTGGCTTGACATTAAGAGACGTTCCATTGCAATTGCTTGATCTGGATTTGGTAATACAACTTACACACAAGGTGCATATCTGGTGGTATCACTTTCTATCCAACGGCAAAATCTCAAGGTTGGCTAGTCAAATCAACCGATGCTGTTTGGAGTTTGTTTCTTTCCCGTACTTAAGCGGCTGAGCCATCCGGAAAACGATCATTGGATGGATGAATTGATTGCAGTTTGATGCAGGGTGGATGTTCTTTCTTAACCAAATACTCTATGGAACACTGGGTAAGAGAAATTGAGGCATCTAATTTTGGGCATCCCAAAATTAGAGCGCGGGTTGTCTAATTGAGGCATCTTGCAAACAACAGGGTTGTCTGTCTAGTTGATTACGTAGATCATTTGAAAAGCATTCCGAATCTGAATAGTTCAAACTCATCTTATTCTCCAAAAACTCCATCTTTGCAAAGTTTAGGTGATATTTGACAATAGTATAAAATTGGTGAAATCAGTTATAGGTTCTTTTAAATAGAAGTGAAAACAATGCACTATGTATCATTTTAACTATCAATTCCTGTAAAGCTTTTCATCTTTGTCCAAAAACTTCCAGGCCAGGATAGACGGATCGGGTAATACATAGCCAGAAACACCAGTAAACAGAAATCTATCCCCCAAAAGAAAATCAGAATATAAAACATTTTCAATTTAAAATCAAGTCCAAGATTCGTTATGGATTTAAGACCAAGTAGTCAATCTTTGAAATACATTGTTGTCATTGCCTAACAAATAACGAACACCTAATGATACTAAGATATACAAATCCATTTGGCAGCTACCCCCCGAAAAAGATCTTTTAAAAAAGAATTTTCAGTTCTTCAGCTGCATTTGAGTGGGAAAAAAAAAAAAGACTTTTATGGTTTATATAACAGATAGCATCATTTTTGTAGTCAAATTGGATAGAAGAGCAGTAGTCAAATTATTAGGCCCGTTATTATCTTTCTTGCCCTAAGTAGCTAACTCTTTAAATAATGATCAAAACTCCCATTTGGCAGTCGCCGCCTCGCACCATTTTGTAACATTTGTCAGTTCTTCAGCTGGATTCATATGAAAAAAAAATATTTGTAGAAGGCCAGGTTCTTCTGGTTTCTGAGTTGTGGATAGGAGTTCTGTAAGTCTAGATCTGAAAAAATGGTCATAAGACTTATGATCTGAGGCTTTAAATTCGAGAGGAGAATCAGGGATGAAGACGGTCTTCTTCAGGGTACCGCATCCTCAAATTTTTATGACATTTTTAATTTGATAATGAAAATTCGATGATTTGAAGACTTCAATCCCAGAAAGATTTATGAATAATTCACTGTCAAACAACGATACATACACGACGTACTAAGTGATAATGATTGTGTATCTAGTTTGCAGTACTAGTAATAATGTAGTATCATGTTCACTTTTTTTTTTCATCTTCTCCTTTTAGCCAGTCGAGGTAAAGATGGTGAAATTCGTCAAAAATGCAAGGAAATAAAAGAAGTGTATTAGGCCCATTGTTGGACCTTTGTGGTTGCCCTAACAAACTAACTCACACTATAAAATCCAATAAAAATCCTTATGGCAGCCAACGCAAAACTATTTTTCTCAACGTTTTCTCACTTCTGAAGCTGCATTAATTTGAGTGGGAAAAAAAAAACCAAAAAAAAAAAAAAAAATTTCTTCAGCAGTGTGTTCTTTTACTTCTGAGCGTAGATATATGAGTTTATCGGCTTCGATCTGAGATGTAGTCTTCACTCTTGATTCCATATTTATATTTATATTGAAATGAACAAAAATAACAATATTATACGAACATAACAAAAACGAAATTCAAAAAATTTAGGGAAAGACATTACATTTACAAATCCGTGTCTGGCTAAAGTTTGAAGACAAGTCATGTTCTCTAAGGCTTTGTTTGGTTGCATTGAATTGGGACCAAGAATTGGAATTGGAGCTCTATAATTCCAATTCTTGTGTTTGGTTGCTAAAAATAGCGGTCCAAGAATTGTAATTATAATTCAAGATAGGACTCAATTCTTTTGTGGGAGCAAATAATTAGAATCCAAATTCAAGACACTTAAAAAAAAATATGTGGGTCATAATCGGGTCATTTCCGGGTTATAACCTAAACGGGTCGTCCTATCAATTTTTGTTTTTTGGCCTTTTTTTATATATTTTTTATATTTTATTTTTTTCAGCTTTTTTCTTTTTCTTTTTTTTTTTGCTTTCAGCGCTTCCTGGCGTTGTTCTTTTCATTTCTTTTTTCTTTTTTTTGGGATGTTTGTCTCATTATTATTATTATTATTATTTCTTCATATATATCATTTTAATAATTATCAACGAAATCAACCTAAAGTTAACATTGTATCTTTTTTACAAAAAAATCAAAAGTATAGATGTAACCAAAAAAAATTAATAACTAAATATTTTAGTTTTGGTTAATATTTTTATTATATTATGACATAGTAAACAACATAACGTTTCCATTTTTTAATAGAAATTGTTTCATATATACACCTATATTATAATATATATATATATATATATTAACTATTCATGGCATCTTTTCACAAAAAATTATGTAAGTTGAGCTTTAAGTATCTATTATTTCATATATAATTATATACTAAAAATAAAAACATTTAAGCATATATTATATACTAATGTTAATCTATGAATAAATGAACCTCAATATTCATAAAGTGAATTTATAATGTTATATAATAAAAATCTTTTTAATTTTTGATACAAAATCAAAACATCAAAAATTAAAAATTTTGAAAAGTAATAAAAAAGAGGATAACAAAGATGTTTTACGTGTTACTTGTTTGTGTATTAAGTGAAAATTTTAAGTATCATATTAATAGTTCTTATACGTAATAATATTTCTTTTGTTTCTAACAAAAATGTGTGTACATAAAAAATTACAAAATTGATATTGCAAATTAATTAATAATAATAATTCGTTTTAACAAAAAAAAGTAAAAATTGTATTAGTTAAACAACCACAAAGTAGTCAAATATACATGTACATGATGAATTTATTTATTTTTTTGTGTTATACATATCCATAATAAAATAAATTTTTTTTAAAAAAAATTTTTTGACAAGAAGTATAAATTGTACTAGTATTAGTTATACAATAACAAACTAATTTCAATTTTAAAGTATCCAAATTTTTATGCATCCAAACGCAAGAATTGGAATTAGAACTTTAATTCTAGTAAATTTTTAAGATCTCCCAAACAAGAGAATTGAAATTGAATTATAATATTAATATCTCATTTTCAATTTAATAGTATTGTAATTCCAATTCAATTGCAATTCAATCTAACCAAACGGAGCCTAAGACTAGTGATATGTACACTCAAAGTAATGCCTTTTGATTCAAACTAATGTCCTTTTATTCAAATTCAGACTTTTTTTTTTCTTTTTTGGGTAATAGGAAATTTAATGGATGATCCCAATGCCAGCCAGTATTTTGCATGACCCCTGTTAATCAAACTTCTCTCATGAAGGGAAAAAAAAAAATAATATAGACATTCTTCTTAAACAAAACATCAACTAGGCAAAAGGTATTTATTAGCATCATCAATATGTCACATTCCTCCTTGTAATAAAAACTGGAATCAGCTTTTGCAGTTTGCTTAAACAAAAAGCAAATAACGGAACATGCAGAAAACTCCTACCATTTATAATATACACATCATGATACTGCTAGAATTCGGGAGGGCGACTAAATGAAACAGTTCCATAATCCTCGCGAAGGAAATTCCAGTATCTATTCAGCATATGGTCTGATGGTATCACGCGATCCCACTTCCCTGTACAGAATATTGCATATGCATCTGCTGCATATCTGTTCAACAAGAAAAACAGTTCTACAATCAGATTTCGCTTCAACTCGTACAGATAAAGCTAGTAATACTATCTTGCAGTGGGAAACCCACTTGGAGATGAGTTTATTTTTATGGTTGCAACGTAATACTGGTATGTGTTTAAGTGGGATGATTGTACATTCTCTGTCTCCATTGATTTTCCTCACTGTGTTAACAAAAAATGCACATTACCTTCTTAAATTTTAGATATGGGAGGATACAGAAGATAGATAGTAACCCACTGATTTCTAATCAGTTACATAATCAATTTTCAAAACAAGCATAAGTCATGAATGAAAAGGCACAAGTGCTAACTTTTTCACGAACTTCTGATTTTACATTTGCAGAATTTTCTTTGCTCAATCAAACCCAGTAATATAATCTTTAAACAACTAGCCCATCCATTTCAAAAAATGAAACCGTATACTCCTTTTGTCCCAAAATTATAGTCCACTTTGGATTTTTCTTTTTAGTTCAATTTGTACTAGAACTAAAACTCCAAACTTGACAATAATTATGGGATGGAGGGAGTACTTTTAAGTAATGCAGGTACTAAACCAAAGCCCAAAATCTGGTAGTGGGAAACACTGTTCACATTGACTTCAGCACAGCTAAAAATGCAGTTGGATGAGTTTGTGCCAGAATGTGCATGGAGTAGAAATGCACGACTATAGTTGGCATTGTAATGTTTCCTTGTTTTTTAGTGTGTGTGAGAACAGAAAAGCGTAAGAGATGAACCCAGTGACATCAAATTACTCGGTAATATACCTAAAGAAAGAAACTATTAATGAAACCTACACACACCCGGCTCTGGAGGGACCAGAAAAGGCCAAGCTGGAGAGTATTTCTTTCACTCTGTGTCTTAGTTCATCAGTTGGTTTGTGGCATTAATTCAGCAGTATACTCTTCCAGTTGCCACTTTGGAACTAAAACTACAAGCTCAAATTATTGGTCTTTCCATAGCACATACAAATGAATTGCCAAGTGTTACACCTTTTTGGCTGAAATTCATATATGTGACAAACATCAAATCGCAGAAAATATTCAACAGGAGTCATTTAGGGGTTACATGGCAAATACCATTGTGCTAATAGTTTTCATTGTAGAAAAAAGACAAGTCCATAGTACAGATGCATAATGCAAACAAAGTTAACAGACTTACTTTCCTATACCATGCAGTTGCGTCACGTGAGTCCAGCCCTCTCCTAGATACTCTTGAGAGAAACGCTGAATCATTACCGCTCTTTTCTTTTGTAAGCCTAAAGGTTGTATCACCTTTTCTATGTCTTGTGTATCAACCTCGGCTGCACTCTGGGCATCTGGACAGAGGGCAAAAAGCTGATTTATCACTCTGCTGGCCTGCACGGACAACAAAATGGTTGGCAAGACCTGTAAATTCAAATCAGATGTTCCCCTGCAATCAAGTGCCAATAAACTAAGAGGTCTCTGTTTTAAGTTTGTACGTTCTCAAACACTAACTTTTGAAAAAAGAAATCATCTGTGATCAGGACGAAAGTTGGAGAGCATTTATTATCAGGAAACCAAAGATGAGTGATAAATAATCTCCGAGTGACATTTCCTAAACATCAGAATCTCCTTGAGACTAAATATAACTTAAAGAGCAGCTATCTACAACATATGCATTACTCTTTACTCCATGTTTTCAAAATCCAAATTAAGCAACATCCTCCACTATCCAAGCCTTCTTTGCTGCCAAGAAATGTGAGTAACAATGAAGACTGCTAGGACTTGACCCAGAACAACATATCAGAGTGGAGTAAGAAGAAAATACACAGGAATATACAATCAGGAAATAAATCACTGCTTCGAATGAAGTGTAGAAAACAAGTGGTAAAGCAAGTAACCTGCAAACCAGTTGTGCGATTGAGAAGCATACAGATTATCAATACCCTCCAAGGATCATGAGCATGGTCTTCCTGAAGTAGAGTATGCGGGGACTGTGGTGGCTTCCATAAGTTGTCTGGAGTCCTACGCTCATAAGCCTCATCTCGCTTCTCGGACGCAGAAAGAGTCCTTTTTGGCAGGGCTATGACTTCTGTCGCATCTATTACAAGCTTAGTGACTTCAACACCTACTTTTCTCTTATTATTTCGTAAGTGTGGACTGACCAAAGTTGCATTTTTCTTCATTGATTTCTGAGATTTCATTTTCAAATGGTTTTCCGTTGCTACTACTTCATTATCCAGTGATTTCACAAAATAAGGCAAAAGTGTTCGAACTTTTTTCTTTCCTTTCTTTGGTCGTTTTTCACCACTTCTTGTCTTCCTCAATCCACCCCCAGTAATGTCCTCCCTAGTTTCTTTTGACTCCACAAGAGTGCAAGGCACAAGCAATGACTCACTAGCTCCTATCATACAAGGAACACCGGTATCTTGCAACAATTTCTCTGATGCATTCTGCAACAATTCCTTTGCTGCTTCTTCATCATACACAGACCTTACAGTGTAAGGTGCAGCATCTTGAACTTCAATCCTTGCTTCCTCCAAGTCCTCAACAGACAACTCCGAAATCAAACTCTTTGGTAGTGATTTTCGTGATCTATTCTTGAAATGCTTTCCAACTTCCTGAATTTTTTCTTGTTCCGCAGACTTCAAAAAGTAGGGAGAAATAACTCGAACTTGCTTTCCTTTATGCTTTTCCTGCCCCTTCCCTCCATGCCTTCCCTTCCTTGATGAAACCTTGGAAACCTGCTCTTCGATCCCTTTATTATCATCAAACTCCTCACAACCAGCATGCAAATACACCGAATTTACTGCACCTGACATCTCAGAAACATTAGCCTCTGACTGCGATTTCCGGGATTTATTTCTGAGATGCTTCTTATTTTCTCCACCGTTTCCTCAGCAGACTTCACAAAGTAAGGCGAAACAGTAGCCTCCTTTTTTCTGTTCTTTCTACCCATTTTACCACTTCTTTTCTTCTTGGACCATATGGGAGCATTTTCCCTCTCAATCTCCTTGACTCCCTCTGATTCTTGACAAACATTAGAAGAATGCCTAGCCTCTTTACCACACCGAATCTGCGAGATCCCACATACTGAATGCAAATCTTCTGCCACATCATCCAAATGCTTCACTCTGATCACTTCTAAATCCTTGTCTACATGTTTCCCGGAGTAGCCTGAAACAAAACGAGCTTCTTTCCTTCCTTCATTTCTCTCATTTTCACCCCATTTTCTCTTCGCTGGTGTAATCCTATCTGTATCTTCCTTCGATTTTGCCAGAATACTAGACAAAACCCCAGCTTCATTACCATTAGCACCAGAATTATTTCTTCTATTCCTTACAATAAAGGGAGTTCTTTTGCTATTCCCATCAATTTGATCACCCTTGAAACAGAATTCAGCAAACAAATTCTCCAATGCCACTTTTTTGGTGCCCACATCACTACCACCATCATTACTTATAACAGCATCATTCTTCTCCACCTTCAACTCACTACCCTTTGGCAATTCTTCCGTTGCCCGATTACCAGAACTCAAAATCGAAACTTTAACATCATTTTTCCCATTTTCCCTAACCGATCATCATCAAGAGAGCAAACAGAACCATAACCTTTCTGATTTTCTACATAAATAGTATCAAAACTATCATAATTACTTACCCAATTATTCGAATGAACCACAAAATTACCATCCCCACCATGGTTCTTCTTCTTCTTCTTACTCCTCTTCCTTTTCCGTTTCCTTTTGTTTTGATAATCACAATCATCAAATGAAGATGAGAAATTGGAGACAATTACCTGTTCTTGTTCTTCTTCCGAACGAGGGTTCCTCATCATCGCAGCCATCCTCGCCATTTCTTCAATCCTCTCGAACTATTTGATATTTTCTGCTTAGCCCACAATGTTGTCTCTTTTTGGCGCGACTTTCTTCATTGATTTCATTTATTTGGCGCGAAATTTCTTCTACCAGCAAGATTTGGGGTTTTGGTTTTGTTTCTAGAGGTTCTATAAACTCTGTAAAGTTTTCCTGGTTTATAACTCAGTTTCGCTTCAAATGGGCTGGGCCTGATTTATCTTCAACGTGAAAACTGAAAATTAAGACGAATCGTAGGATTTCCAAATGTAATTCATTCTGGAAATGGACAGCTTAAAGCCTGTCAATCTTTTGTCCGTAGAAGATCCTGGGATTGTAAATAGTATTCTATCTATCCCATAATTATTGTCCAATTTGAATTTTCATTTTTAGTTCAAACTGTACTAGAAATAAAATCTCAAAGTGGACAATTATTTTAAGACAGAGAAAGTAATATTTTTAGTATAATTAGAGAAGTCCTCAGCCTTCGCTGGGACGTATAGATTGGGCTTGCTGGCCGGGATCAAAATGAGGTAGCGGATATGTTGGCAAAATTCGGATTTCTCCTGCCCTTAAAGAGACACATTTTGTCAACTTCTCTGGGCACAGTTAGAGGTGCATTAGATGCGGAAAAGCACCTTCATCCCTGTCCTTTAGAGATGTTTTGTAATTAAGCTATTAGCTTCTCTATTATTATTTTTTTAAAAAAAAAAAAAAGGTCTTACGTTTGCTTAGTACTGTATTTTGTTTACACTAATTTCTCTAAAAAATAGTACTTTTATAATTTGAAGATCTATATTTGTTCCTCAATAAGTTAAAAAATAATTTAAATCCCACAATAAGTTGTAAGTTTGTATTTTCTTATTTTTTCATCTAATTATAGTTAGTTCTTTAACGTTCAATGTTTTAACCTTTGACTTGTAAGAACGGCAATATTGTCTTGTGCTTAATTTTATAATTTTGTAAATATTAATTTTTTCCATCTAAATTCTTTTTTAAGTTACTGAATATCTTATTTTTAATTTATTGTTTTGGAGCAGTAATTTTTTAAAAATACAAATTTTTAGTTTTTGTTGGCGCCTATATAGAGAAAATAAAAGTTTGTTTGCATTTTCTACTTTAAGAAAATTAAAAAATATATAAGAAAGTAAAAAACGAAAAAATTAAAATTCGTTTATAACTATTCCTCTAATCGAACATAAACCCCGATATCCTACCAAACCCCAGTATTATGTTGTAATTTGTTGATTGAGAAAAAATCATGTATATTTGTAAAAAAATAATTTATATACACATATTTTTTAAAAAAATTAGGATACTTGCCTTCACGAATTTATTTCGCACCCCCTAATATAAATCTTGGCTCCACTCATGATCAACATGCACGTCGGATGCGTGCTAGTTTTTTTTTTTTCTTTTTATGAAAAGGTAAATATTTGTATTAACATAATCAGCAAAAATGCACTGTACAAGTCTCATTTGATTGTTCCCTATCTACCGGTTACAAAATTGTTGAGAGTGTACTCTCAAATTACACCAATTTTACACTAACATTCTAATGCGTCGCAGTTCTTGATGAGTTACCATTTTGAAATTATTGTGGGTTTATAATTTACACTCTATCCTCATGTGCCAATTATTCATCATGGATCTTCTCAAGTTACCAACCATGCGATGTGTGTTGTGTGCAGATATTGAGCTTTTTTTTCGAAATATCATCCAACAATGAGCAACCCATATAGTTAACTAAAATACTCACTTCGCCCATAATTATTGTCCACTTTGAATTTTTATTTTTAGTTCAAATTATACTAAAAGTGAAACTAAACAATAATTTTGAAACAGGGGGAATAGTGTAAAAGGGATGACCGACAATGCAAATGCTTATGAAGTTGTAGCAAAACTTTATATCGTTGTTTATGAATTTTTCAAAATCGGCTAAAATTATGAACTAAAAATGAAAAATTACCAGTCAATAATACTATGATTTTTTGCACGACTTCTATGGTTTCTACCATTGATATCTGATTGCCTGGCCCGATAGAGTGTCTAACCAATTTTTATAATGTACTAGATAGAACCCGTGGAACCTCGGGCTGTCCAGGGATTGTTTTGGGTGTTCGCCGTTTACATTGATAATAGTTTATATTTGAATTTGAATTAGAGGTATAAATGAATAAATCGCAAATACAAATAAGTTCTATAGATCTGAAAAATATGCATAATTAAAAGTTGTTTGTGTTTTTTTTTTTGTTAGAAAAAGTTAATATAAGACATTCAAATCCGATGGGTCGTATGCAAATATTAGGTTAAAATTTAAAAAGAGATGATAAGTGATATAATTGATGTAATGAAACAATTTGGATGAAACATAATCCACTTATACTTCATACCTCGATTAATTAATCTAAATACAATAACAACCATGACAATAAACACAATAAGAACAACAAAAAATACATTACAAATGATTCATTTGACTTTAGTCATTGCTACCATTAACTGGACCACCATGAGTTTCGAAATACTCCATCTGTGCCTCTAAGTTATCAAGTCGTATTTGAATCTGATCACGTTCATTCGCCATCTTTCGCAAACTTAATTCGAGATAGATCATACGATCTTCAACAGTAGTTAATCGTGAAGTAATATTTGCTTCAAGATGGTTGATACGTCGAATGATCGGATCTAGAATTTCTTTTAGGTCTCGAACATCAGAAGAATTATCACGATCCATTGGAAAGGAATAATAGCCTGCACTTCTATAAAATGCTGGCTGAATGTAAGGAAATAGTGATATATATATATATATATATATATATATCATGTAATTCTCTAAAGGTCTGCACATTCAATGTAAAAGGGAATTAATATAGAGTCTGATTTCCAGAAATTAATCGCTATAAATTATTGACTTGATTATATTCCAAAGGTCATGCAACAAATTCGTATTAAACGCACATCACATATATTAATTGAAACAGAAAAGTTTTATATGAATGACTGCAGTAATCTTTAAAGAAAATGGTATACAAATGGTCTGTTCATGAATATTGATTAAATGTATGTAGTACGAAATGCATCAGCAATGTACTAAGGTAAATAATCACCTGGAACAAAAGAAACGTTCAGAATTCTTTCGATATTGAAATAATATGAAATCGGAAAATCGGAGGGATTGTCAAATGTATTAATTATAAAAGTTAATAATAAATAATAGTTGAAGGGCCATGATAATAATTAATTTGACGTTTTTTTACAAACCAATTGATAAGACGTTTCAACAATCAACGTCAAACATGATTTAATATTCCTTGAATCCAATAAGGTACCCACTATTTATGCATCAGTTTGTATGTAATGAATTCCCTTAATTACTGCATATTGTCTAGTCATTTGAAATGAAACATGCATAAACAATACATATATTGATAAAATGGTACGAAGGCACATGATTTACTACAAAGCTGCCATCGAAACTAAATACTGATCAAACTCTTACTGAAAAAGCATAATGCTACCATAGAACAACCATATACAGGGAAATGCCTATTCGTAAAGAACCGCCATTTTTTGTTGTTTTGTACAAATAGTAATGCAAACGATCGGCCCCGATAGAATGAATTCGCCTCCGAGAGAAGATTTTGGATTTAAAATAAGGTTCCAATCTCGATGCCACGGATGATCGAAATTTTGACGGAATTGACTATAACAAATTGTAACTGGAAACTCTAAACCAACCTCGTACATTTTTGTCCAATATCCATCACCATTTCCACGGTGGTGAAAAGCCCATAAATGGAACTTCCGAGACATGAAGACTAATTCCTCCTCAATGAGATATAGTGTACCCTGCGTATTCAAAATTTTGAGAGTTGACATAGGCGACTTATCACAATCATTCCAGAATGGATCATGAGGACATGTAATGATTTCAAAAGTTTCAATATGGGTATCAAATGAAACCAAGCTGATTTCGAGACTCTTGGCTGTTGTGGATAAATTTATTTATTGGCCAGTACACCACATGTCCAAGAAATAATCCTTGTAGGAGGATATTTTTTGGACATACGGTATCAACAAAAGACCAACGACAATTGCTTTGTTCATTGTCAACAAAACATCCTCCTGGTTGCAAGAAAGTGTGACAGCAACCATGTAATCTGCTTTCTGTTCCTGTAAGCATATAATGTAGTACCTTTGAAGTTCAACTTATGTAGTTGAATGCAATGCTCCATACACCGCGATTCTCTGATCCTTCAAACGGTCCAATTAATTCAGGTTCATGTTTTGTAATAGGATTCAACAACTTTATCTTTTTCTTCAGCTTGAAGCATAAGATGTCACATGTTATAGCATTCTACAACTTTAAATTCCTATCCAGCTTGAAGCAAATCGAATCACAAGGTATGCGAAAAAAATGAACCAACAACTTCTGGCGACCCGAAACTATAAATTTATTTATCACAATCAACATATCATCCTCATGAACTTTAATTTCCATCATTTTCATCAACTTATACATGTTGTGGCTGCTACTGCCTTGTTGTGTAAGAAATAACATAGAAGAGTGATGTTATGAAAGCGATCTACGTCGATGCTCCATGACAAATTTATGCGACCTAAGTATTGACCTGCGTTGTTCACTAATTAGCGACATATACCAATACTTTTCCAATCAAGTTTCATAATGTCAAAACAGAGTTCACGTTTAATCACCTCAACAAATTAATGTCACAGATAATCAAAAAAAAATAATATGTCACAACCATAATTTTTAGCATGGACAAACAAAGAGCTCATTGTAAGGTTGATAGTGTTCGACGGATTTTTTTTTCTGGGAAGGAGTTTGTAAGTGGTTAATATTCGATCCAATGATTGAACTATAATATATGGGAATTAATTATGATCACA